GCTCCCCTCCCGCCACCTCTCCTCCGCTCCCCTCCCCTCTGCACTGCCCTCCCTCCCTGCTCGCCTCTCTTCTCGCCCTCTCTCTGCCTCCCCATGTTCCCTTCTCTCTCCCTCCCATGCTTCATTGTGTTTGATCTCTCTGTCTCACTTGCCCTGTGTCATGCCCGCTCTCTTTTCTCTCCCAAACCGCAACCACCCCCAACAACCCCCACCCCCCGTCCTCTCTGAATTCCACTCTCTCTTTCAGGAGACGATCCGCACGGCCCTGGCCATGGGGGCTGACCGGGGCATTCACGTGGAGGTAACGGGGAAAGACTATGATGCTCTGGGCCCTCTGCAAGTCTCCAAAATCCTGGCAGCTCTCGCCAAGCAGGAGAAGGTGGACCTCATTCTCCTGGGCAAACAGGTGAGGCAGCTCCTGGATATGGGCACACACTGGGCATTGGCACCAGCACAGTTGGCATGACATTGCCCACTTATCATTCAGGCATCTAAATCTGGTGGTGGTCTCTGCTGGCTGGGAAAGTTCAGCCCCCGCCTGATTGGCACCACATCCACAAGCATCCCCTCCCCTCCCCCACCGACGCTCAGTCGCAGCAGTGTGTAGCATCTACAAGATGCGCTGCAGAAATTCACCAAAGATCCTCAGGCAGCACCTTCCAAACCCACGGCCACTTCCATCCAGAAGGAGAAGGGGCAGCAGATACATAGGAACACCAGCCCCCTGCAAGTTCCCCTCTGAGCCACTCCCTTGGAAATATATCCCCGATCCTTCACTGTGGCTGGGTCCAAATCTTTAAATTCCATCCCTAAGGGTTTTGTGGATCAACCCACAGCAGGTGGACTGCGATGGTTCAAGAAGGCAGCTCGACCCCACTTTTGGAAAGCGGGTGAGTGCTGAGGGAGCCCCACGCAGTCGGAGGGTCAGCACCGAGGGAGAGCAGTGCTCGAAACAACCTGTACAACCCAGTGCTCCTGCTTAGGGGTGAGAGAGCCTGTTGTCACAGAAACTCCCGAATCCTGAATGACACAGTTAATGCCATGCATCGATATGGAGGGTTTGTCTTTGGAGCAAAGGCTAAAACAGGCTGGAAACGTGCCTCACCGGAGGCTAGAAGAGGGAGAGGTTCAAATCCCAGCCCCAGGAGCCAATGGGATTTCAACTCGATGAACCAATTTGGAGTGGGAAGCTCGTCTCTGGGACGGTGGCGGTGAAACTATCACCGGTTATTGTAAAAATCCAACGGGCGGGGGGTGAGGGACACAAATGTCCTCCGCCATCTGGGCCTACACGTGACTCCTGACCCACCGTGACGTGGCTGACCGTAAACGCGGTAGAGCCAGTCACATGGCTCAAGGGGCAGTTAGGGACAGGCAATAAATCTTGCCGGTGGAACCGAAAGGAAAGTCAAACCGTATATTTTTCTGTGCAATGGCCTGGTGAAATGTGCAGGCGACTGTGATTTGGAATGGATTGGCAGTCACTTTCTCCTCTCTGGCCTGACAGGCTATCGATGGGGACTGGAATCAAACGGGACAGATGACCGCTGCGCTCCTGGACTGGCCCCAGGTATGGATTCCAAATCCTCACAGGCTCCATTTGTCAACTAATGTCAGTATCAGCTCAGACATGCTGCATCTGTCTCTTGTTGCCTCTCTCTATTTCCTCGACTTTACTCTTTCATCTCTCCCTGTCTGTCCCTTTCTCTCTCTCTCTCTCTCCCCCTGCTTCTACATGTGTGCTGGACAGTCGGTGCCGAGGGCGCACCATGCTGTCGGAGGGTCGGTGCCGAGGGCGCACCATGCTGTCGGAGGGTCGGTGCCGAGGAAGAGAGTTATTACTTAGGGAGTGCGGAGGCATTTGAGGGGACTGAGAGGTCGTCTCCTGTTCCTGAGGAACTGTCCCTCACTGAGGAGATGGTTCTGTCTCCGTGTCAGTGAGCAGTGGGGCACTGCACTGTCTGAGCGGAATGGACTGACCCCAGTTCAGTTTCATAATGTTCACCTCTCTCCCATTCCATGTCTAGGGCACCTTTGCCTCGGAGGTGAAGGTGGAGGATAAGAAGTTAATGGTGACCCGGGAAGTGGACGGGGGTTTGGAGACAGTTTCACTCAAGTTGCCGGCCGTTGTAACCTCTGACCTACGTCTGAATGAGCCTCGATATGCCACTCTGCCAAACATCATGGTAAGTGTCCAGACCCCCATCGTTACTGCCCCACAGCGCCGAGGGAGCGCCGCACTGTCGGAGGGTCATCGCCGAGGGAGCGCCATTTTTAATGGTTTCTCACTCTGTGATAAACAAATGCTTACTTGTCCGATCAGATTTGACAGAAACTAAAGCCTCTCATTATCTCCATGTAATTCCCACCCCCCAACTCTTCACCATCTCCTCTTCACTCTCCCTGCTTTCCCCACTGTTCCACCTCTCTCTCTCTCTCTCTCTGTACCCCCCATTCCGCCCTCTCTGTTTTCCGTTTCTCCCTCTCTCTCGTACTCCCTATTCTCTCCCTCCGCCCCCCCCCCCATTGTTTTCCTGTGTGCTATTGCCATTTTCCCAATTGTCTTTCCTCTCCGACCCTGTCCCCCTCCCCTTTGGCCCTCTGTCTGTGCGGGATTCTCCGTGCGCCCAGAAAGCAAAGAAGAAGAAGATTGCTCGAACGAGTGCGCAGGAGCTGGGAGTGAACATCTCGAGTAAGCTGCAGACCCTGAGTGTGGAAGACCCCCTGCAGCGGACTGCCGGGGTCAAGGTGGAGAATGTGGAACAGCTGGTCGCTAAACTCCAGGAAATCGGCCGCATCTGATGGTTCAGAGGTCAGCGGGAGTGGTGAGGGGGCGCGGGGGATATGGGGCCATTCCCCCGGGGTGGGTTAAGGTAGGGGTCTCATTGGGACAGTTAGATTCCATGGGAATGGCAGGAGGCCATTCAGCCCCCTCCTGGAGCCTGTTACACAGGAACAGCAGGAGGCCATTCAGCCTCTGGTCTTTTTTTGTCATTTAATCAGATTATATCCGATCGGGATCTTAATTCCAAATCCACTCCTTGGTATCCGATCCCTTAATCCCCTTAAACCTAGGAAAATCCGATCAAACCACTGTGAAATTGTGATTCACCTCTGTGAGCCTGGCCCCGGTAAGTTTTTTTGTGTGGGGGCAGAGATGCCGATGTCAGTACCTGCTCCGCGTGAGGATGTGTGTGCCCCACCCCACACCACCCACCCACCACCCGCTCCTCCACGGCCCCCCAACCACCCCGTGCAGTCCAGCTCGGATTAGAACATTCCCCTTGTCCAGGTCACCCCTCCCTCACCAGAGGAAATCCATTCCCAGACTCCATCCGATCAAACCCTTCAATCAGCTTCAACCTTTCCTTATATCATCCCTAATCTCCTCGGCTCGAGGAAGGACAAGTTTGATGGGGACAGTAGAGGGAGCTTTACTCTGTATCTAACCCCGTGCTGTCCCTGTCCTGGGAGTGTTTGATGGGGGGATAGCGTAGAGGGAGCCTTACTCTGTATCTAACCCCGTGCTGCCCCTGTCCTGGGAGTGTTTTTGCGGGATAGTGTAGAGGGAGCTTTACTTTTGTTGTAAAAGAGTAGAGGAAAACAACAGTGAGTTGGATTGAGTATCTCATTGACCCTGTGTTAATCGGTTCGGTTTTCTCTCCCTCTCTCTCAGGGTTACCCATTGCCAGGAACTCTGCGTAGTCCTCACCACCAAATCTCGTCTCTCGACTGGCTGTTCTTTTTAAGGAAATGATTGCCCAGCACCAGACTGCCTTTTAGAGCTGCCTCCTAATTCTTTGAGTGGAAAATTATCAGAGCAGGTTAATAAATAGTTTCTATAATCACCTCACTAGACTGCAGTGTCTGTGTGTGTCTGTGTGTGTCTGTGTGTGTCTGTGTGTGTCTGTGTGTGTCTGTGCTGTGAAACAATGCCACATCCGTTGTGCTGTGTTCATCCTTCCACAGTTCATTGTAAAGCAACAGACAGCCATTTTCAATCCAGTTCACAGCTCAGGGACAGGCCATTCAGCCCCCCTGCTTATGTCAATGCTCCTGCTCCACACACGCCTTCTCCCACTCCCTCTCATCATTCCCCCCCCATCACTGTCTCCTTTCCCTCTCTCCCTCGTGTGTTTATCCAGCTTTCCTCCCTTCAAAACAAAACAACAACACAATACACCCCGACCACTCCCTGTGAGAGCGAGTCCCACATTCTACCCCCTGCACAGGTTTCCGTGGGAAGACATTCCTCCTGAATTCTGGATTTATTCAGGACTGTCCTCTATTAAAGGCCCCTTGTTGTGGTCTCCTACCCCACACCCACCCAAAAAAAAAACAACTGGAAACACCTCTACATCTCCCCGATGGAAACCCCTTGCAGAATTTTAAACACTTTGATCAGGTCTCCCCTCTGCCTCCTGTGTATCGAGACAAGCTGCCCACCCCCCACCAACCCCTCCCTCCCTCCCCCACCCGGAGAGTTTCACTGCTCCTGACAGCACAACATCTCTCAATTTCCATACTGCAATATCGTTAACGTGTGCCTGTTTTTTATTTTGCACTGTCTCTTGTGTAAACTGCAAGAGAGAGCCCGGGTCTTTATCCCATTGTGGGATCGTGCTGTGCGGAAACCAGCACCGAGCGGCCTTTACAGCAAAGAACAAACTCCGGGTGTGGTGGGTGGAATAATCACCCTCGTCTTCACCCTCTGAAGACATTTTGCCTCAGAGTTTGCAAGAACGTTTGGCCACTGGGGATTTGGTGAACAGTCAATGATGTCCGTGCGGTGTGGAGTGGTGGCGGGGGAGCCACATTTTACTCTGAAAGGGTGTTTTATCAGGGAGCTGGCTGTGAAAAACACTACAAAACCCATCCTGCTGCCCTTTAGGGACGGAAATCTGCTGCCGGTCTGGGCCTACACAACTCCAGGCAATGCGAGTCATGTTATACAGCAGTGTAGAGGGTGTTGGTGAGGCCACACCTGGTGTACTGTCTGCAGTTTTGAGGGGTATTCCCGTAATTAAGAACGGCTGGACCGGCTTTGGACGGTGTTCCAGAGAGAGACACTTGTCCAATTCCTTGGGGTGAAGGGAGGAACTTATAAACGGCTGGACAGATCAGGCCTTGACCCTTTAGAGTTCAGAAGAGTGAGAGCTGATCTCATTGAAACGTACAGAAAGATTCAGAAAGGGCCTGACTGGGGAGAGGTTTGGAGGCGCTACCCCTGGGGCGAGAATCTCACATGGAGGGGGGGGACCGTAATGACACAGTAAGGGGTGGCTGACTTAAAACTGAGACATTTCATCTCCCGGAGGGTAGAGCAAATCCAGAATCTTCCACCCCCTCCCAGAGTGTGTCTGGAATTCTCCCTCCCACCACCCCCTGCCCCACCCACCTCAGAGTGTGGCGGAGGCGAGATCAACGGAAGTATTTCTGGAGGAGGTGAATATTTGAGACATTGGAGATTTTGGGAGGGGGGAATGGGTTACAAGGGGCTGGCGCGGGGAGATGGTGGGGGGGGGGGGGGGGGGGGGGGGGGGGGGTAATGTAGTCGAGGCCTGGCACAGATCTGCC